TCAAACCTCCACCACCTGATACATAGGTCAACACTCAACCACTGGACCACACCAGCCAGGCTATTGTTTCTCTTTTGATTTTGCATTTTTTAAAAAAGATATATTTTATTGATTTTTTACAGAGAGGAAATGAGAGGGATAGAGAGTTAGAAACATTGATGAGAGAGAAACATCAAGGTACATGCCCTCGACCTGAATTGAACCTGGTACCCTTCAGTCCGCAGGCCTATGTTCTGTCCACTGGGCAAAACCGGCTACGGCTGGTTTTGCCTTTTTAAAGGTATTTTTGCCTTGCAGGTTTTAAAAAATATAGTTGAATATATAAAACTTTTCCATAACGTCTGGATTTTGTGTCATTCTTAGAAAGATTCCTCATTTTAAGATTTTAAAACAAACAAACAAACAAACAAAAAAAAACTCCCCATATTTTCTTCTAGTACTTTTATGGTTTCATTTTTCATTAAAATTTTTTTTGGTCCATCTGGAATTTATTTTTGTGTAAAGTGTGAGGTATTGTATTTAGTTGTTCCAAAGCATTACCTCTCTACTTTGAAATGCTACCTTTAAAAATGTGGTTAAAAAACACATAATATAAAATTTACCATCTTTACCATTTTAATTGTATAGTTCAGTAGTATTAAGTTATTCACATTGCTGTGCAATAGATCTCTAAAATTTATCTTGCAAAGATGAAACTCTATATTTAGTGAACAATAACTCCCCATTGAAATGCTGCCCTTTCAATCATAGTCTAGTGTCTGGTCTTTTTTACTTCTTGCCTAAATCACTGTAACAGCTTTCTAGCATCACCATAATTCCAATCTGCCATGCACACTATAGCGTGGTTTATTTTCCTCATGCAAGTTCTGACCACGATTCCATTATTCAAAACCTTCAGAAGCCCTCCGTGATATATTGCAATTGAAATTACATCCATCAGCTGCCTCTTGCACCCCCCTCCCCATTGAGGATGTGCCCGCAACCAAGGTACATCCCTCATTACTCTCTTTCATAGCACCTTTACCTTTTCTTAGTGACTCTTTTCATAATTTGTAATTGTAATTAACTGCATGATATTTGACTGTTGTCTATATCCTGGCTAAACTTCAAGTTTCATGAGAGAAAGGGCAATGAGTTCACCACATATTTGTAGTGCTTAGTGTGCACCTGGTACTTAGTAGGTACTCAGTCCATGTTTGAGGAATGATAGGTTCCCCTTGTCCTATGGGATAAAGTAGAAACAATGCAAGATCTGATTCAAATCTTCTCCCAGCCCTCCGCCCTTCAAGGAAATTAAGCTGCTGGATTTCCCACCCTTCCCTGACAAAGCCATGGGCTTTCTAATGCTTGGCTCTGATTTACAGCATGGCCTGATCTTTCATTTGTGCCATGTCCTCCCCTCAGTTCCTCACTAACATTGCTGCCTTGTGGAAATCCAATTCATCCTTCAAGAATATTGTTGTTTCCACCACTGGACTGTGAGTTCCTTGGGACCAGAGACAGAGTCCCTTGATTTGCCCCTAGGGAGCAGCACAGTTACTGGTCTCTAGAAGGTGCTCTTGGTTACACATTTTCATCTGCGCCTAGGCTATAGGCTCTTTGAGGGATCCTTATCTGTGTGCATCTGGGAGCCTTGCTTTCTAGGCCCCCCCCCCCCCCCCCCCGCACCCGGGAGAGACTTGGAGTTGGCTTCAGAAATATTCTGGTAACTTACTGAACCTGTCTAGTTATATTGTGAGAGGACTGAATATGACATGGTGTGACAGGAGCAGAGGCTTCCCTGCCTTTTCCCCACTGTGCCCTGTGATAATCCGTCTCTCTGGTTCCTTCTACAACAATAAAAAATTACTTCCCCACACTCCTCACCTGAGTTCAGCTTGAAGATTACTCCCTGCCTCTCTCTCCCTCCAAGCCCTCTGGCAAAGAGGCTGCTCAGTTGGCTACACTTCCAGGCCATGGCACCAGGAGGCAGGATTGCCATGCCCAAGATCTTGTTCTCCCTCCTTCAGAAGCACCTTCTCTGGGGATGTCCAGGCAATTCCCCACCACCACCTGCTTCCCAGCTGTACTCCTGTCACCTCATGATTCCAAGGCAGCCCCTTCCCCTCAGAGGCAGTGACCCCTGGCTTGGGCTTCTTCCTCCTCACCCTAAAGGCTGCTGACACCCCAGGGGCTTCAGAGGTCAGGGTTGGCAAACAGCCCAGCCTGCTGACCTGTTTTGTTTGTCCAGAATCATGTTCTTGTGAAGGCCCCAGAAGAGGAGGGACCAGGAACCCTCAAGCCTTTTAGGGTCTAGGCTCCTTCCACATCCAGCCATTCTGCTTTAGACCCCACTCTTGAGTCCACCCCTGCCCTGTCATAGACTGTCCAGATTCTGAAACCCACATGCTGACCACAGCTTCCCTCCTTTCTCTTTCATTTCCTGTCTCCCCCAATCCTGACCTCTTCTCTGCATACAGACCTCCAGGCCCATCGGCCCCCTGATTCTCCCCACTTTCTCCCAGTCTTCTATTTTTTTCCTCTTCCTTTCCTTTTCTTTTCTTGTGTTTTCTTCTTTCTTTCTTTTTTCTTTTCTTTTTCTTTTCTTTTCTTTTCTTTTTTTTTTTTGAGAAAGACGGCTGTATTTGATTTACAACTATGATAACATGATTTACAAAAGGGGTGGGGATGTCCTAGCCCGCTCCTCCAGGCCTCCCCAGACTAGGCGGGGCCTCCAGGACAGCCCATCTGACAGGCCGAGGCCAGGACCTTCTCTGCTGGGTCCCCTCTGGCCGAGGGGCCTCGACGACATCTGACATCCAGCGTGACCTTAAAGGTGAGGCCGGGGCGCAGAGTTCACCCAAGTGCTGGTGCCCCAGGCACGGGCCAGGCGAGGTCAGGAAGGCATCCTATGGCTTTTCTCCTCCTGGCAGGGCGGACACACAGTCTGGGCTCGAGGGCCCGGGGACTGAAGGTACTCAGACCCCCCAAAGAGGCCAGACCAGCACCAGGCGGCTGCTGGTGCTCAGGAAGGAGGGGGGGCGGGGCGAGGCCCGGTGGCCCCTGGTCACGCGGGGTGGCGCTAGGGCGAAAGGCACATTTGCGAATAGCTCAGGAGATGCCACGCGGAAACAGCGCCCACTGCTGGTTCCTCTTCGTTTTCTTACCTCTGCCCCACTAGCCCCTCAGTACCCTATGTCTCCACCTCAAAACCTCATGTCTCCGTTTGCAGGGTCAGATAAATCTAACCATCTACCTTCAGTGGGATAATCTTAAAGATCAAAGTTGGTTAATTCTTTGGCTTTCTACAAACTTCCAGAGATTATCCACAAGCTACAGGGTTGGTGGTACTAAAGATAAAGGCATGCTCCTCAGTTGGTTTAAAACAGAAAAATTCTGTTTTTTAGCCATTGCAGCCCCTTTCATGAACCCGTGCCTGCACAACAGCTTTCCCCCTTACTCATTCTTTCGTTGGTTCTAGTCTTATTTTTAAACCATATTGTTTCTGTAGGTACATATGTCTTTGTATAAAGGCACAGAGCAAGACCAACGAGGATACACCACAAACAGATAAACATTTGCTACCTCTGTGCAGGGCCAGAGGTGATCAAGATTGAGGGAGAGACTAAGTCAAAGGGTTTAACCTTATCTGTAAAGTTTCTACTTTTCAAAAAGAGATTGTCTCATGTATTTACTACTTGTGAGAAATTAAAAACAAACAAATGAACCAGCTTAGTACCAGGAAGCCTTCATCAGACTTCCAGGCAGAGGGAGCTGCTTCCTTTTCTGAACTTGAACAGCACCTTCCGCAAGTGTTATAGGCAATGCTGTGTTTGTCTTTCTCCTTCTAGATGGGGAGTCCCCTCAAAGGTACATACTTTATAAAATCCATGCTCCCATGCCTAACAGAGTGCCTGGCCCAGAGCAAGTGCTCAGTGAGTGCCAAACCCAGCTGTCTCCTTTGAAAGTGCTTGCTGTGGGACAGGCCTCATGCTAGTCCTGAGCTGTTTCGAATAAGTTCCACAATGTCAAGGAAGGATACCTCCAGGAATCTGAAATGTGGATAGATAAGACCTTTGGGTTACATCAACACAAGGATGAGGTTGAACTGCCTGCACCCCAAGGCCAGGATCCAGTTCAGTACTACTGTCTTGTCACTTGGCATACTTCTGAAGCCACAGCCTCTTCAGTAGTTAATCTAAGGGCAAAGGTATCCCCAAAAGTTGAACTTATCAAGTACAGCCCTGATTTGTATCTCTAAGACAGAGAGGACAGGCCTAATAAACAGGCTGTCCCTATACGTGGTGGGCCAGGGAGGCCAGAGCCAGGAGATCCTCAGACCAGGCTTGGAGGGAGACCCTGAGCAATTGTCCAAAGGGCTTGAAGAAGGCATCAGGATTTCAGTCTGTAGCTTTTGTAATTTTCCAGAGAAATTTGAGCTCTCAGGTCATAGGATCCTATTTAGGGCCTATCTACTGCTCAAAGGTAAAAGGGCAAAGCCTTAATGGGTCAATTGGATTGGAGATAGAGCGTAGGTGGGGATGGCTTTTAGGGTTGGTCAAGTGTGTGTCATGTGGCCAGGGTAACCCTTTAGACTTGAATGTGCAAGTGGTGAGGAGGCTGAGGAAGGGCCTGGATCAGTCTTTCTTGTGAGAATGCTCCCAACCAGCCCCTGTATTTAACCTTGAATAGGACAGTGTTCCTGGGGGTTTAGGGCAATGATACTAAGTACTTGGGCTCCTGAAGAGATAACGGCAGTAACAGTGGCAACAGAAATTTGGTAAGCAGTCCCCTACTACCCCCACCCCTCATTCCTCCCATCTCACCCAGCTCCCTCCCAGCTATCCACACACACCCCACCACAGGCCTCAGAATTGCTGAAAGGACACTAGACCATGCAACACACTTTTAGACCTCAATGAAGAACACCTCCAGTTAGTCCAACTCTCTGTAAGTAACTTTTATTTTTATTTACAACAGAAGTGGTGGCTTTATTCCTTCATGTTTAGGGACAGTTGGCATCAGCAGCCAGACGGAAAGTCTGCAGTGAAGTCAAATTCATTCTGCCCCAGCCACAGCTCTGGAAGCTCATTAGCCCGGTCCAGTCCCAGTTCCACCACCAGTGACATCAGCACCTCCTCATCCACTGGATCTGAATCAATGATAGCAGGACTCTGGGCACCAGCAGGAGGAGAGAGTGACCCTGTCCCTCCCATCTGAGCCCCAAAGCCCCAGTTTTGCAGGGGCCCTGTCTCCCCTGGTTGGCCCGGAGTGGCTGAAGCCATTCCATGATACTGGCTATTAAGTTTCTGCAGCTGCATACTGGCCAGCAGGTGAGGGGCAGGGTGCAGATTGAAGGGTGAGGGTTTAGTGGGAGGGGTGGTGGTAGGAGAGCCTATTGGAGTTGGAGATCCAGAGGAACTAGTGGAAACCCCACTGGCCTTGGTTCCATTCGAGGCTACCCCGGGGTAGTGCAGAGTGGCTACTGCTTTGCGATCTTTCACCCCCTGGTTAGAGTAGGCTAGAGAGCTCATCTCTTGGTTGGCATCCTAGAAGACAAGAAAGGTGCAACATCACAGCAGGACCAGAAAACTCCTACATGCACTTCATTTGGGCTTAGGGGTGAGGAGGTAGCAAGAAGATCCCCTGCAAAGTTAAGCTCCTAGCCTGGGGATCCTCTTGAGCTCAGTGTTCAGAGTCACATGCTCATGCAGGGCACCTGCCCTCCTAAGTGGGTTTGCTGCTTTCATCTCCCTCCCTCCACCTCATCATTCTAAGGACATCTCATTGTCCCTCTTCTCAGCCTCACATTAATCTCTTCAATGGTGTTGGCTTATTCCAATTCTACTTCTCTGCTCCCTACCTTGACATCTTTCAACAACCTGATTGGGTTTGGTTTGACCACATTTAGGCAGAAACTGTCCTCATTCTCCCCAGAGAAAGCCTTGTTGTCTCCTTTCTGCTAAAGGACACTAGGCACCACACCTAGGAGGGCCTATAGACATGGCCCCAGACCAGTTTATCTTTCCATGTCTAAATGTCTCCACTTGTAAAATGGCAAAAGTTACCTCCTTCACAGGTGAGGTGCCACCCTTGACATCAAGTGCAGGTCTCGACATCGTTGGCATTTCAGAGCCTCAGCAGAAGTTGGATAAATTGGTAGGAGGTGATGCTGCCAGCCGGAGCTGTTGTGTTGTATGTGATGGAGAAAATGTAAGAGAAGGGCAAAGGCTTCATTAGCCAAGAAAGCACTAGCAAAGCCCAAAGCAGGGCAATTACATACAGCTATAAGGAAAGGATGGTGACAGGGTTAGAGCCAAGACCAGAGACCAGGTGACCAAGAGAGAAGATCAAACCGGAACTTTGTTTGCTTGATCAGCCAGGTGTTGCCCAGGTAGCCGGCTACCCACATCATCAAGAGGGTACACAATGACCGCTTCCTCATGCCAGTGATTTCAAAGCCCAAAGTGTGTGTGTGTGTGTGTGTGTGTGGTGGCATGGCATTATTCCTGATTCTGAAGGTATAAATATCCCTGAGTAAGTAGCACACGGTCTTCATGGGTCACTGGCTTTCTGAGCTGGGGCCTCCACTGAGACTGAGAAAAAGTGGGAAAGAGTCAGGGCAAGGAAGACCTAGAAAGCTGCAGGCTGTAGCCCAGGGAAGGAATCAGTCCCCAATGCGAATGCCATGGAACTCCAAAGCCCTGACTTAGATATAGGTAGGTGTGAGAAAACCCAGGCTGATAAAGGTGGGCTGGGGGCTCTGACAGCAGGGAGCAGCAAGAATGTTTCAATTTCCTCTCTGCCTCAAGCCCCCTCCAAGACAGCCCAGGCAGCATAATACTTTCCCAGGACACCTGGTCTGAGCCCAGCCACACCCATCTATAGTGATAGATGGGAATACTTCTTCCTGGAGGGAAACAGGAACAGAGATTCAATGGCTTTCCTATCAAGTGGCAGTGGTTCTGAGAGCAGGAGCTAGCACTCTTCTGTCCACAGGCCTCGCCTGACCACTGAATCATATCTAGAATAACTCAAACAGTTGCTGAAGAAATAATACCATAGCTCAAGTGCTGAAGGACAAGGGGATGAGGGAAAAAATAATTCCCTCAAATCAGAAAACAAAACAAATTTCCTTACCTGAAAACTCTCAAGTATTTTCCTAGAAGCTTGTTTTTAAGCTTCATCTATTCTAGCCCTTCATGATGAATCAGAGATGTTGAAGAATTTATAAATATTTATAAATACCCTTTGCCCCAAAGAATCTCCTACACCTTAAAAAGCTATCTAATCTTTCAAACAAGCCTAGAATTCTCCTTGACATTTCCCTCCCCAGTGGCCATTAAGAATCTGCTCAGACACTTCTCTTTATTGTCTTTGCACCACTTGTAGGGTAGGGGGACAAGAAAATAGAGAAAGGAAAAAGTCTGGGAGAAAACATGAGGGGAAAAAACAAACAAAACAAAAAACAGCCAAAACCGGTTTGGCTCAGTGGATAGAGCGTAGGCCTGAGGACTCAAAGGTCCTGGGTTCGATTCCGGTCAAGGGCATGTACCTTGGTTGCCGGCACATCCCCAGTAGGGGGTGTGCAAGAGGCAGCTGATCGGTGGTTCTCTCTCATCGATGTTTCTAACTCTCTATCCCTCTCTCTTCCTCTCTGTAAAAACTCAATAAAATATATATTAAAAAAAAAAAAACAGTTGCTGGGTCATCACTACCACTGATTGAATGGAAGCTTGTTTCTTCTCCAAGGCTATCCAGTCATGTTTCAAGCCAGTGATCACAAGATGAGACTAATCCATGTCATTCTTCCAGAGCCCAGCATCATAAAAAAGTGGGGAGGGGAAAAAAAAGATATAGAATAAAAGAAAGAGCCAGAAAAAAAAAGTGTTTTAATATCAGTTCTTGAGGAAGACCCTTTTGCCATATTCCCCTCTTCAGGCCGTGATCTCCCCTTTACCTTCCTCAGATCTGTGTCTCTCTGGCTGCTCTCTCAGCCCCAACCCCCAAACTACCTGACACCTTCCCCCATTCCCCCCCTCCCCCCCCCCCCCCGCCCTTGCCCCGCATTCCTCGCCTGGGTCTGTGCTCCGTAGGCACTCAGTAAGTGTTGAATCCGCTTTTCGATAGGAGTTCCTGCCCCTGCTGGCCTGATTTTCTGTCACCACATTGCCACCCAGCCCGCTGGAAGGCAAAACTTGGCAGCTCGGAAACGACCCAGCCTGCTCCCCAAGCCGAGAGCTGACCACTGTGAAATGGCTGCTAGAGGCGGCCCCCAACCCAGTCTGCTCCCCAAGCCGAGAGCTGCGGCTGCTAGAGGCGGCCCAGGCAACACACAGCAACAAGTGCCTCCACACGCACCGCCTGTGCCTGGAGCCTCTGACTACCAGTTCCCGCCCGCCCTTCTCTTCAGATCTTCCCTTGGTCCCACAGCCCCTCCCACCTAGATGGGGGTGGGTAGAGGAGAGGAAAGAAGGGGGAGGCAAGGCACGTAGGGGGCCCTCATCTTTGACCTGTCGGGGGAACAAAAGTTAAAAAAGTGGCACCAACTGGATGGCTCCATCTCGATTGCTATTTTCTCACCTAGGAGAAATTAAAAAACCCAGTCAGTACTGGGGCTCATCTCAGACACGCTCTAACCCAGACCGGTCCCTTTAGCCACCTGAAAACTAAAGGCCCTTGTTTGCGGACAGTTCAGCTGCCCTCCTCGAGAGACTTCCCAGGTGGAGGCGCCCGGAGCTGGGGAAGACTTGGGACATCCCTGCAAGGTGGGCACAAGCACGTAGTTCACCAGAACCCCGAACTTTCGTCCCAGCAAGTGCTGTGTGGAGACCGCCCCAACAGGCGGGCAGTGGCACGGGCTCCGAGTCCCCACAGCGAGTCTGCGGCCCTGCGGTGCGGCCGCACGCGGGGACGCGTTCTGGCACCGGCGGCGACCGCTCCCGCGCCTCCCCAACACCCCAACACCCCCTGAGCGGCCGCCGAGGGGCCGCAGGCTGAGCTCCCCCTTCGCCACGCCGCCTTCCTCAGTGCTCTAACCCCGCTCCCAGAAGAGTCAGAGAGGCTCGGAGAGGAGAGGGTCCATAACTTGCCCAAGGTCACAGCGCTAGAAAGTAGCGGAGCCGGGAGTCGCAGCAACGTCTCTCGGACTCCAAGTCCGATGCTCGGCTGGGCAGGGACTCCGTGTGCCACCGGCCCCGCGGCGCTCGCTTATAAGGAGAGGGGTGTGTGCGTGGGTGTGCGTGGCCGTGTGGGCGTGCGCGTGGGAGAGAGCGGAGGTCGGCTGGGTAGCAGGGGCAAGTTGCCCACATTCGCTAACTTCCGTCCAGCAATTCCCCTGAACTCGGCTCGAAAAGCCCCTCTCGCCCGCCCCCAGCCCCCAAAGGAAACCTGAGCTTTGTGCAGCCCCCGAGCCCGAGAGGCCAGATGCCGGGCGATGAGCGAAGTCGGTGGAAGCACCACCGGAGAAAGCGCGGGCGCAGCGGCAAAAGGTGCCGCCGGCTCCCCTCAGGAAGCGGGCGCCCTGCGCGGCGGGCGGGCCGGCCGGCGGGAGAGCTGGCAAGCCCACTAGCTCGCTGGCGGGCAGGCGGGCGGCAGCCCCTCAGCCCCCAGTGGAGCAGTTTCCGAACAGAAAACAAACAAAAACACCCCCCCCCCCAAAAAAAAATAATCTCACAAAACAAAACAAAAAAACTCCCCCAAATCCCCCGGCCCGCCAGGCTGCCGCACGCTCCTCGCGTCCGCTGGGCTGGAGTCCCTCGGCCCCACCGCCCATCCCGGCGTCCTGCCGGGCGGCCAGCGTTACCTCAGCGGAGCCGCCCGCCTCGGAGACGAAAGCGCGGAGCTGGGCGAGCCGAGTGCGAAGCGGCGGCACCCCAGGCCCCCGGCACGCACGCCGCCACCGCGAGCCGGTCGCGCTGGGCGCCACCCCACCTCGGGGAGCCTGGGAAAAGCCCGCACCGCCGCGCAGCCTCTGCGCCGCACCGCGCCCGCCCGCCGGCCGCTTCGGCGGCGCCGGACTCCGGGGCGATGGCGGTGGCGGCCACCGCGCTCCGTTCTTGGCGCCGGGGACAGGCTCTCAAGCCCCCATTGCAGCCCGGAGAGCCCTGACGCACACGCACAGGACAGAAGGTTGGCCTCGGCTAGAAATCCCAGGAAAGACAGACCCTTTCCCCCCCTTTTTCTTCTCCCCCTCAATTTCCACGTCTTTATAACCGGCTTAGAGCATTATTAGCACATGTACTGGCTCGTGGGCCAGTTGGTGGCAAAATCTGAACTGGATACTCACTCAGGGCCAGAGTTGATACTGTGACTACCTTACGCCTTCTTCCTCCTCACCGGGAACAACTCCTCAGCCCGTGGGCTGCGGGCGGGCTGCGGGCGCAGAGAGCAGCCTGCCCGGTGGAGTGAGCGGCCCCTGGGGCAGCTCAGCCGTTCCCCTGCTGCAGCCCTGGAACATTTTATAGCAGCGGCTAGCGTGTGTGGCCCTTTAAAGGCGCTCGAGCTGGTGCAGTCGCCACGGATCTTGTGAAAGCGAAGGGCCGGCTGGGGAACGGAGTCCGAGCGGCCCCGCGGGTCCAGCAGCGCTGGGAACCCGCCACGGCGCTGGGGTGGGGCTGGCGGACCCAGGCCATGGTCACCCGGAGCCCAGCCTGGAGCCCTCGGTTTACGCCAGTGCTTCTGAAGCTGTCGGGGCCGGCCGGGGACATCGTCTCTCCCCACCGCCCTGCATGGACTTGCCCAATAAATTGCACTTAATTTTGCTAAGGTGAAGGAGAGCTGTTAGTGTCTGTTTTCTGACCTAAATCTAGCGGGTGACCTGAGAGAGCTTCAGGAGGAGTGATATGGACTCAGGCAGTGACCCTGAGCAGGGGGCGCATAAGGGACGGTCCTGGGGAGCGGGAGGTACGATTTGGGTTTTCTGCAGGGCTTTTTCAGAGCTTGTCTGTTCCTTTGGGCTGAATCATTTCCCTTGTTGAAGGGACAAAGCCCGGGTCCCCTTTCCTCTTAAAGTCTCCAGATCCAGGCAGAACCTCAGTGAGGGCCTAGCTGCAGGCAGTAGTGGCTTCCCTCGAAGGCCTGAGCTAGGTATTCTTTTTTGTGGTTATACAGATGAGACCGAGGCTGT